GAAATCTCTCAAAAGAGCACTAATATTCCTTTCAAAAAATTGCACTTTTTTTAATAATAGCTCCAGCAGATGGCAGCAACTTGAAGGGGGAAAAGGGGGAGGAGGGAGAGAAAGGAGGGAAGAGGAGGAGGAAGAGGAGAAGGAATTTCATAGGACTCCTTTGTCTATTTTTTCAAATAGTTTATATAGTATCATAATTAATTGTTCTTTAAATGTTTGGTAGAATTTATTTGTGAATCCATCTGGTCCTGGGGATTTTTTCTTAGGAAACTTATTTATGGCTTGTTTGATTTTTTTCTAAGATAGAGTTATTTAAGTATTCTATTTCACTTGTTAATCTAGACATTTTATATTTTTTTGTAAATATCACAAATATATAATATACTATTACCAGGTGGGATTTGTACCAGGAGTACAGGGATGGTTCAATAATAGGAAAAAATAAACATAATTGACCATATCAATAACAAAAATAATAAAGATAATTTGATTATATCAATAGATACAGAAAAGTGTCTTGATGAAATACACTAGGAAGCATAGGAATAAATGGAGCCTTTCTTAAAATGATAAATAGTATCTATCTAAAAAAAATCAAAAGCAAGCATTATCTGTAGTAGGGATAATCTAAAAGCCTTCCCAGTAAGATCAGAGGTGAAGCAAGGATGTTCATTATCACCACTATTATTCAATATTGGACTAAAAATGCTAGCTATTGGCACTAAGATCAGAAAAAGAAGTTGAAAGAATTAGAATAAGAAAGAAGGAAATAAAACTATCAAGATGATATGATGGTATACTTAGAGAACCCTAGAGGACCAACTAAAAAAAACAGTAAAAATATTAACAACTTTAGCAAAGTGGCAAGATATAAAATAAACCCACAAAAATCATGTATACATGTGTGTATATATGTATATATATATATATATATAAAATCAAAAAAGTCCAGCAGGAAGGGATAGAGAAATTCCATTTAAAATAACTAGAAATAATATAAAATACTTGAGAGTCAAACCCAAAATATATATGACAATTACAAAACACTTTACACTCAAAGACATATCTAAACAACTGGAAAAGTTCTTTTTTGCTCATGAGTAGGCTGAGCCAATATAATAAAAATGACAACTCTATATAATTTACTTATTCACTACCATGCCAAACTACAAAAAAATTATTTTGTAAAGCTAGAAAAATAATAACAAAATTCATCTGGAAGAATAAAAGGTCAAGAATATCAAGGAAACCAATGGGGGAAAAATGTGAAGAAAGGCAGCCTAGCAGTACCAGATTTCAAACTATGTTACAAAGTGATAATCATCAAAATAATCTGCTACTGGCTAAGAATTATTGTGGTCAATCAGTGGAATAGATTATGTATATAAAACAACATAGTAATCTAGTGTTTGTTAAGCACAAAGATCCAAGTTTTAGGGGCAAGAACTCACTACTTGATGAAAATTGCTTGGAAAACTGGAAAGAATTTTGGCAAAAAACTAAATATAGACCAACATCTCATGTTGTATACCAAGATAAGGCCAAAATGGGTACATGATTTCGACATAAAAAGTGATACCATAAGCAAATTAGGGGAGCATGAAAAATTTTACCTATCAGATCTATAAATAAAGGAAGAGTTTATGACTAAACAATGGATAGAGAGGATCACAGGAAGTAAAATAGATAATTTTTATTTCATTAAATTAAAAAGGTTTTGCACAAACAAAATCAATACAGCCAAAATTAGAAGGAAAACAGGAAACTGGGGGTGGTGGAGAGAATTTACAGCAAGTTTCTCTGATGAAGGCCTTATTTCTCAAATATATAGGGAACTGAGTCAAATTTATAAAATTAAGAGCCATTGGTCCAATTGGTAAATGTCAAAAGATATGAACAGGAAGTTTTCAGAAGGAGAAATCAAAGCTTATATGATCTAATGCAGAATGAGGTGAGTAGAACCAGGAGAACATTGTACACAGTAATAGCAATTTTATATGATGATCAACTGTGAATGACTTGACTATTCCGATTAATGTCCCATGACAATTGAAGCCTAATTTTTTCACTTTATTTTTCTTGCTTTTTTCTCAACACAGCTAATATGGGAATATGTTTTGTGTGATTTCACATGTGTAATTGATATGACATTTATTACTTTCTCAATTGTGAGAGAATTTGGAACTCAAGATTTTTTTAAATGGATGTTAAAAATAAAGAAATAATAATTTTTTCAAAAAAAATAAAACAAAGTAACTGCGTACAATATAAACTACTTGGGAGTCTACCTGCTGAAACAAACCCAGTAACTTTATCGACACAATTAAAAAACACTTTTTGCACAAATAATGACAGATCTAAATAATTGCAGAAATATCAATTCCTCATGTATAAGTGAAGCCAATATAATAAAAATTATAATTCTGTATAAAGTAATTTACTTATTCATCACCATGCCAATCAAACTACCAAAGAATTATTTTGTGGAACTTGAAAAATTAATAACAAAATTCATCTGGAAGAACAAAAGGTCAAGCATACCAAGGGAATCAAAGAAAAAAAAAACACAGCTGAGCAGTACCAGATTTCAAACTATTATCTCAAAACAGTAATCATCAAAACAATCTGGTACTGGCTAAGAATTAGGGTAGTAGATTAGTGGAATATGTTAGGTATACAATATGCAGTAGAAAACAAACATAACAATATAGTGTTTGATAAATTCAAAGAGTCAAGATTTGGGGGAAAGAATTCATTGCTTGACAAAAATTTCTGGGAAAACTAGAAGGCAGTTTGGCAGAAACTAGGTATGGACCAACATTTTACATCATATACCAAGATAAGGTCAAAATGGATACATGATTTGGACATAAAGGGTGATATCATAAGCAAATTAGGGAAGCATAGAAAAATTTATCTATCAGATCTATGGATCAGGGAAGAGTTTATGACCAAACAAGAGATAGAGAGGATCACAGGAAATAAAATGGATAATCTTGATTACATGAAATAAAAGGGGTTTGCACCAACAAAATCAATGCAGCCACAATTAGAAGGAAAGCAGACAACTGGGGGTGGGGGTAATATGTAGCAAGTTTCTTTGATCAAGGTCTCATTTCTCAAACACTTAGACAACTGAGTCCATAAAAATAAGAGTGATTCCATTTGATAAATGGTCAAAGGATATGAATAGGCAGTTTTCAGAAGAAGAAATCAAAGGTATCAATAATCATATAAAAATGCTCTAAACAACTATAAATTAGAGAAATTCAAGTTAAAACAACTCTAAAGTGCCACCTCACACCTATCAGATTGGCTAACATGACAGAACAGAAAAATAACAAATGCTGGAAGAGATTTGGAAAAATAGGTACATTAATGCACTGCTGGTAGAGTTATAAACTGGTCCAACCATTCTAGAGAACCATTTGGAACTACATCCAAAGGGCTATAAAACTCCATATTTAACCCAGCAATACCACTACTAGATCTATATCCCAAAGAGATCGAAGTAAAAAAGAAAAAGTCCTACTTGTACAAAAATATTTATAATAGCTCTTTTGTGGTGGCAAAGAATTGGAAACTGAGGTGATGCCCATCAATTGAAGAATGACTGAACAAGTTATAGTTTATGATTATGATGGAATACTATTGTGCTGTAAGAAATGATGAGCAGAATGTTTTCAGAAAAACCTGGTAAGACTTACGAACTTTTGCAAAGTAAAGTAAGCAAAACCAGGAGAACATTGTACACAGTAAAAGCAATTTTGTACAATGATCAACTGTTTGACTTGGCTACTCTGATCAATGCAGTGATCCAAGACAGTTTCAAAAGGTTCATAATGAAAAATACCATCCACCTCCAGAGAGAGAACTAATGAAATCTGAGTGCAGATTGAAGCATACTTGTTTCACTTTATTTTTATTGCCTTTTTTTGCAGCATGGCTAATACATAAATACGTTTTGCATTACTTCACACATATAACTGACATCATATTGCTTGCTTTTTCAAGGGTTGGGAGGTAGGAAAGAGGGAGAGAATTTAGAACTCAAGATTTTAAAAAATGAATGTTAAAATGAATGTTAAAGTATAATTATTTTTAAGGAAAAAAATAAAGGGCAGAAGCTGTTTTGTTTTTATCTTTGTGCAACCATCACCTAGTTCAGTACCTGGCACATCGTGGTAACTTAATAAATGCTTTCTGGTTTGATTGACTAATTGAACTTCATCACTTCCCAATGAAGCTATATCTAAGTGAATAGGCATGGTGATCATAGACTCCAAATCTTTAGTACAGAAATCTGGTTTCTTGCCCTGGCTCTGCCGCTTTATTTGCTGTGTGACCTTGGACTAGTCACTTCACCAATTTGAGCTTCAATTTTCTCATCTGTAAAATCAAAGAGTTGGAAAAGATGACTTCTAAGGTCCCTTCTAACTCAAAAATTCTACCATTCTAAGTGTCTGACCAAAGAGAAAGATTTGGTTATTGGATTCTTTGTTTCTTTTCAAGGTAAGCACATGTAGGCAAACTCATGCATGGGAATACAAATAAGAGCATAATGACAGCTCAAGAATTCAATACAACAAGCATTAATTAAGTACCTTCTATGTCTAAGGTATTCTCCTAGGCATCAGAAATACAAAAATCAAACAATCCTCAAGCTTACAATCTGAAGAAGACCTGAAAGAAATTGAGCCAGGCTAAAAAATAATAATAATAATTGGAAAGCAGGCAGATAAAATTTGATTAAAAATACAAATAACCAAACATTAAAACTAAACATTAAACTACTGTGCTTATACAATCAATTCCATAATTATAAGACTAGGAAGGATTGGGATAATTTAGCAGGGCTATAAAAAATTGCATATGGACACAGATACACATATATATGTATGGCTATTATAATTTTAAAATAATGATTCAAAATCAGGTCAAGAAAAATCTTTTTAAAGATAAAATAATCATATTTAGAAAAATATTAGTTATCACATTACCTGGAGGTATTAGCTGTATTAGTTCAAACCTGATCATATAAGCTGTAAGAAGAAAAATAACATCACAATACTTTAGGAAGTTGCCAAGAGAACTGGGATACTTCAGCAACTGATAAGTTCAAATCTGAAATAATTTATTATACTTTAAATACTTAAAATTATAACAATAACTAAAAAGGTTCCTTCTTCCCCCCCCCCAAAAAAAAACCTTACCTCATTGGAACAGACATTGTTTTGAAATACTGGCACCCTCTGTAAACTCAGGGACTTACAGAACCCAATAAATCAAGACACAAGAATCAACAAAATATTGGAGAGCGATGGTCTAGTTATTCAAAGATAAAAGCACTCATTGATATAATGCAAGAAAACTTTACCTCTTAAAATCATAATTATATGACATTTAAATATCATCCTTTTCCTTCACATCTCTCTCATTGCATCTCAGCACTATACCTCACTACCTTCCCTCACCCTCCATTGCCACCAGCAGACTTCATCTCCCTTTGGACTGCTAAAATATCCTCCCAACTGGTCTCCTTGTCTGTAATCTCTTTCCTTCCCAATCCATCCTTCATAAGGGCACCAAAATAATCATTTTAAGACATAGATATCTCAGCCCCCTGCTTGAAAAACTCCTTTGCCTTTTGGATTATATTTGCCTTTCAGGTTGCTGTTATAAGCCAACAAAAGTATTTTACATAAGTATATATTTTAAGTCATTTGATAATATATTTAAAACTAGAGAGGAATACAGAGATTATCTAATCTAGGGATTCTTAGATGTTTTTGTGTCCTGGACCCCTTTGACAGTCCAGCAAAGCCCATCTACCCCTTCTCAGAATAAAGTTTGTAAATATCATAGGATTATAAGGAAACCAAGTATAATGAAATATAGCTTTCAAAATATTTTAAGAAGAAAATTCACAGACACTAGGTTAAGAACCCATGGTCCAGTAGTTCAACATTCTTGTTTTACAGATGAGGAAACTAAGGCCCACAGAGGTTAAGTAACTTGCCCGAGAGCTTGCAAGTAATTAGTAGTAGAGCCACAGTTCAAAGTTCAACTCTGAATCCAAACCCTGGACTTTTTCTATCATACTACACTCTCTTGCAGTAATGTTCCTCAAAATTGTCAAAAGAAGAGGGAGATACTCAAGGGACAAGATTAAACTACCTATCTTTCAAGGTTCAATTCAATACCACCTTTTCCATGAAGCCTTCTTTCTATACAATGGAAGTGATCTCTTCCTTATTCCTGATTCTCAGCCCTTCCTGTCTAGATGCTCCATTTGGCATCTATATCCTTATCCTGTAAGAGGTAGCAGAATAGGATGCTACGTGCAATGCATTTGTACCCTAAGACCTTGGTTTGAATCTAGACTTTGTTCCTGATACTTGAACCAACTGGCAGCCTTGGACAAGTTCTTTACCTCTCTGAACCTCAGTTTCCTTATATGTAAAACAATAGGATTGGAGGTGGCTGAGTGGTGCAGTGGAGTGTGTTGGCCTTAGACTCAGGAGGATTTGAATTCAACTCTTGCCTCTAGCTGTGTGATCCTGAGCAAGTCACTCAAACCCTCTATGCCTCCGTTTCCTCATCTGTAAGATGAAAGATAATAATAGCACGTCCCTCACAGAGTTATTGTGAGGATCAAGTGATATACCATGTGTAAAGTGCTAGCTACTATTATTATTACTAGTATGAAGAGTTCATCTTTTCTGTGTGTCATGGGCCCCTTTAGAAGTCTAGTGAAGGCTATGGATCCCTTTTCAAAACAATAAAAAATAAAATAAAACATATATGATCTACAGGAAACCATCTATGTTAAAATGCAGGGGTTTTTTTTTAAGTCCATAGAATCTAGATTAAAATTCTCTAGTTCACTAGATGATTTCCAAGGTCTCTTCAGCTCTAAATCCTATGAACTTAAGAGCATAGCTATTATCTTCCCTTCCTTAAGGAAAGATATCCTTCTCTTCTCCATATCTTCCAGGGCACCTAGCCCAGAGCAAACTGCTCAACAAGTTTTTATGGATTTGCCACCTAAACAGCTTTCAACAGATCCTCTGTGATAAGGACTGTGATAGGGACTCTTCCAGCTCAAGCCATTGATGCAACAAATCAGAAATGGTTAAAGTGAGTACAGAATCATGGTTCAGAACCCAGAAAGCTGAATTTTAGCCCTGACTATGCCATTAACTAGCTGCATGACTTTTGGCAACTCAACTACAACCTAATTCAATTCAAAAACCATTTATTAGATGACTATTTTACACAATGCACTTTTCAAGGCCTTAGGGAAATGCTGAAGAAGAAACAACTGGAACTATCCCCTGTTCATCACCGCTTCCCCTCTCTGCCTTTAAGAAGCTTACAGTCTAATCAGAGAAACATCAAATTTATAAAACTAAGTATGCCAGCTGATAGAATAAGGAGAAGCTTCATGAGGGAGGTGGCCTGAAGTACCCCTTGAAGAAAAAAAAAGATTACAACATCTAGAGATGAGAAGGGCATAAGTTCCAGGAATGTGGGATAGTCTCTGAAAATGTGCAGAGGCTTGATTATAGGTCTAGAGCTAAAAGGAATCTCATAGGTCCTCTAGTCCAGTGCTTTTTAAACTGCGGGTTGCGACCCCATATGGGGTCATGAAAAATTTGGCAACAGTAAAAAGTTCCTGAATGCGGAGCAACCAAAAATTAATGAAAAACCAAACATGTAATGAATCTGATGTTATTCTGGCAGTACTCGCCCATGTTACATTGTGCAACTTCACTGCAGCCTTGATTCTGAACAAAAAGCATGCACATTTTGCACTGCACGTGCCATCATGTCACAGTGCAAACAAACACTGCCAAAATGTGAAAAGGGGTTGCGAGTAGAAAAAGTTTAAGAAGCCCTGATCTCGTACAAACTCTTTATTTTACAAATGGAGAAACTGAGGCCTAGAAAATTTAAGTTGACTTGTCCAAGGTCACATAGGTAGTAAGTAGCAGAGCTAAAATTCAACTTGGATCCAGTGACTCCAAGTTTAGCTCTCCAAATTTAGTATACCATGCTGATTCCGTGGAAGAGGACAGCATAAGGCCAAGGAATAGGTAGTCATCTAATTCAACTGAAACTTAGAATATACAAGGAGAAGTGACACAAAAGTTGTTGAAGAGAAGAAATGGCATCAAAGGATGATGTCTTGACTGGTACATGAACTGGATTTAAGTGAGGCAGAGTTGCACAAAGTCATCAGCCTCACTCTCTCTTCCAGAGTCATCAAAGTCCAGTGGCAAGAGAAAAGTCAAGATAACTGGTGATGGCCCAGGATGCAGTGGATGACCTTGGTATCTTCAATGTCTGACCAAGATCTAAGCACTCCACAGTGCCTGCTTAGGCCACCTGCACGGCCGTTGGAACAAATTGTTCTCATCTGTCCATTCCACCAGAGGAAGTCCTCACATGCTTAGGGTAGATATCCCTCTAACTCACCAACCAGTCTGAAGCCTATCAGTTATCCTCAACCTGGTTTAGCCAGTCTGATGAAACAGTTTTACTGGGGTGTAACCACTGCATGTGCTACAGTTTCTTGGAGCTACAGGTGAGAGTTGGGTGAATTAGGTGGACACCAAAGGTAGATGAGCAGCCCTGAAAAGGGCTCAGCAAGCCCTGACACCAGAGGTGCTAGTTCCTTAAACACTCCATATACCCTGGGAGTTAGGTAAAGATATCTTTAAAGACTTTTCCAACCCTGAACATCCTATGGGGTCCCCATTACTAGAGGTCTTCATGTGAAGCTGGATAAAAATATGTCAGGTATATAATAAGGCATAAAATGGACTAGATGGCTTTTGAGATCCCTTCTAACTCTCAGTTTATGATTCTAAAATCCCTAAATATGCTGGGGTTACTTGGTCTCTTTAATTCAACTCAACAAAAAATTATTAAGCACTTACTGAATTGTCATTGACCTAACTTGTACCTCAGAGCTGGGCCCAACATAAATCCAGGCAGAATCTAAGTTCCATATGTCCAATCAGCCTCTCTTTCTTTTGGGAAATGGAGAAAGGAGGAAGAACTCCATTTCAGTACTGACGATTTTTCCCGATCCTCCCTTAACTACTGCTTCCAGGAACCAACTTAATCTTCTTTCTCACCTTAATCCAGAGAGGCTCCAGGGCCATGCCTTTTTGTGGCCAGATTTTGTGGATAAGAGAAGATAATGATATTTTTCAAAACATACAGTCTGTTATATTTTTTCAAAACATATAGCTGCAAAAGACTTAATGGATACTTGTCCCAAGTTTAAAGACTTCCAGAAAGCCACAAACAAAGACAATAATTAATTGGGAGAAGGAGAAGGGACTGGAGCAGAGTAGATATTTGTTTTTTAGGCAATGTTTAGAAGACAAATTTGATACATTAATATTGACCCATTGTTTTCAGTTGTCTTTACATGTCTGTCAGAATCAGCCCTTATTTTTCAGTCCTACATTACCTCCAGTCATAGCAGATCTCCCCTTGGCTAAGCCTGAGGAATGGTTTCTGAGCCATCAGGAAATTCATAAGAAACTTCTGACTGGGAAAGAATTTGCCTTTGAATCAGTCTCCTTGCTCTTGCTGTCCTTTGTCTGTCATCTGGATTCTGGTACTATTACTTGGACTATGTATCTGGGTATCTGAACACGATTTGTCCTCTCTTCTGATTTCTCTAAACTTTCTGATTCTTGCCTGCCTGCCTGATTGACTGGCCTTTGGTTTAATGTTTTGCCTTACCCTTCATCATCTGAATTTCTGTTTCCTAACTGCTTCCATGGTTTCATTCCATAGCCTGTTTCTAACCTATATCATCTGTATATGTCCCTCCTCCATACTTCTCATCTGACTCCGGACCCCCAACTCCATCTCACTCACCAATTCCTAAGTACTTCTAAGGGCCTAGACTATACCCATGCCGATTTTTTATCTTGCTTCCCCCCTGCCTGGTCTTAGCCCTCCTTCCCCTGTTTCTCACCCTATATCTATATTCTCCTGGCACCCATTGTCCTAAAGCAGAAAGCATCTATCAAATGGGTCACCTGAAAATTCCAGATTGCATCCCTAGACGTGGGAGGAAAGGGACCAATTAGTAACTCTACCTCCAAATAATTAAGGCAAAAATAGCCTAAGAATGTGATGAACAATCTTCTTATTCCAGTGAATTAATATTTCATCTTTTATAAAGGGTTCTATAAAAGAAACCTAAGAATGAGAGCCAGATTTTACACCCACAGCTTTGAATATAAATATAAGATAAATCTCCTTCTAGATAATAGTTACTCATACATTAGAAAAATTTCACATTCATAAATTTACACACATTTTCTCAATAATTTTTAATAGTACGTACTTTCTAGAAGCTCTGCTACAGTGGCTGGATCAAGTGCATTTACAAATATCTAGAGAGAAAAACAGAATGTGTTCACAGTCAAGTACTCACGGAAATTAGATTGCAATCTTCCAAATGGATAAAAGCTGTATTAGTGAACTGTAATTGCTTCAAAAAGCAATAAAAGATCACTGTGAGTACAACTAAGTTTTGGAGTTGTGTCTGCTTTTAAAATCTTCACTTTACTGTAAGGATCATTGCATTTGTCCCAGTCAAGAAAGCCTGAACTAGATAATTGAGTCTAGCATATACTTTTAAAAATTCAACTTGCCCTAATCTTACTTTTTAATGGACAAAACTATCCAGCTCAGGACCAGATACAAATATATAGGTGCATCCAACCAAGAGACTCATTAGAGTATCTAAAAAAGTGTGCTGCTTACAGTGGGATTCAATAACTATTCTTGTTTCTTCCAGCTATTTTTTTCCATGTAAGTCAGTAAACTTAAAAACAAAGAAAAACACTTTTTTAAAAGTCTTACTTATGCCCACTACTAGTATCCCTACCTCTACAAAATCAGGTTGGCAATGACAATAACAAAAATTGCTGACATTTTAAGTTTACAAAGTAGTATTCAGATATTATTTGATTTGATCACCACACTAACCCTCTGAAATTGTTCCCATGTAATACAATACCTACCTCCAGGGAAGAAAAAATACACATTTGTGCCATGAAGCATTTGGAAACATATTTAGGAATAATCTGGCTACATTGCCCAATCTACCCAATGGGAAGAATGTGGTGTTTGGTGGTATATATCTCTTTTTTTTTTTTTTTAGGCAATTGGGGTTAAGTGACTTGCCCAGGGTCACACAGCTAGTAAGTGTCAAGTGTTTGGTCTGAGGCCAGATTTAAACTCAGGTCCTCCTGACTTCAAAGTCAGTGCTCTATCTACTGTGCCACCTAGCTAACCCTCTCTGGTATATATCTAATCCTTTAATTTTATCATCTATTTAAGAAAGAGAATCTAGTCAAATAATGTTATTTAATGCTACCATTGCAACATTGCTACAAATACAGAGTGAGGTACAGACTAAAGTAATAATTTATTATCCAAACTTCCAAATTCACCTCTGCCTTAATGATCTGAATAGTTTAAGAAAATATGGGTGATAGGTTTTTTAATCTGAATAATCTGGGAAATTGCATGTTGTCTGTTTACAAATATAGATACAGCCCAAACGTTCTCTATGAATGGTCCCAAGATCATGTTATTACCATGTCTTGCCCAACACAGAGGTGCACCTCTTCATAAAGTAGAAAAGATGAAGAATTTTTTATAAAAGATCCACTGCTACAGAAGAGTTCCTTCTGTCTTATTTAGAAAAAACTGAGAAGAAACTATTTTATGAGATAGTTGATCAAAAGGACCTGAACTGTGAAAGGAAAAGCAAATTGAAAGCCTTGAAAGAAAACTGAGACACAGCTGTCTCCTAAAATAGCTTTGTATTTCAAAGAGAAATTTTTCAGAATTTTGAAATAAAATCATGAACACATTTTTGATTAAAATTTAAAAGGTATTTTTCATTCACTGTATAATGAGTTCAACTGCTTTCTGTTCATTGGCTTTAAAATTCTTATTTTAAAAGGTATATAGTTTTTTGTTAAAAAAAATCAGAAGTTGATCGAATTGGTGTTTTTTTGGGGGGAAACCTTGAAAAGTAACTACATACATATATCATCTATATTTCATACCTCCTAGCTGAATGATGTTTGAGAAAATTCCTTACATTATTGGGCCAGGAATTACTATTATGTAACAAATTAATCCAAAACCAGGAAGAATTCCAAATTCTGCTGCTTGACTTTGAAGTGTGGTACTATGTCCTGTGCTTAAATGAAAAGTGATTACTCACTACAACCATCACAGCTTCAACCCTTCCTGCCAGTCCTTATTATTTATTCATCATTGATTTAATCATATACATTTTACTCTTTAAATTCATCTCTCAGGGGGGGCAGCTTGGTGGTGCAATGGATAAAGCACCAGCCCTGAAATCAGGGAGACCTGAGTTCAAATGCGGCCTCAGACACATAAAACTCACTAGCTGTGTGACTCTGGTCAAGCCACTTAATTCCAACTGCCTCACAAAAATAAATAAATAAATTCATCTCTCAGAAGCTTGACAACACAAGCAACAGGATTACCATCCACATAAATAGAAAGAAATGTATCTAAGGGACTAAGATGGCATCTTTTAAGCCTATCCTTAGCTGTTGTGTAAGAGAATTTGTTTATTTTCACAATAAGGATTATTTTGCGTAACTGTGTTGAGAACAGATGAATGAGTTGATTATTATATTCCCTCTCAAATTAGATAAGTTCTTCCACCATAGTTAGGAAAAACCTAATTTAAGAGGCAACTGAATATTCTAAAAGGATCCACTTACAGATCTACTTAAATGCCTTTATCTCAGAAAATTATTGGTATGAATATAGCATATCACTAAATATTGGCTAAACTCATAAAATGCTCTCAGAAAAGAAAAAATACTGACATACGCTGAACAAATAACAATAAGTATAGGTTATATTCAAATTTTACACAAGCCAATTTTAGTAGGGGAAATTAGCATGTACAAAATACCAAAATGGCATTTCACCCACCATACCTTACCAACAGGCCCAAACACAAACCAGCTCAAAATAAGAAACATCATAATGAGTCAGAGGATCCACCTAGTGTTCAATCTCTGATAATGGTATTCTATATTTTGGAGAAAAGTCTCAAAGGCTCAAAGACATATCCTAAATATTCCTGACTCTTCCCCTTAAAAATATATTGAGGAGTTTTTGCTTCTAATGTAAACATAATATTTTTTAGTTTAAAAACAAAGACTGAAGTTATAATCATAGACTCTCTGGACTGAGATTCTTTTAGTCCAGGAATGTCATAAATGTTTTTTGCCAGGGTCTACACATTTTTAGGGCCCTGGAAATCCAATCCTCTTTCAGAAACTTGAGCTTACTCCTAATTAATTACTTCACCATAAAAACAATCATCTATGCAACAGAGAGAGGAAAATAAATAGAATCATATCTTTTGATTGTGGGGCATGCAAACAAAAAAATTACTATGGGAAGTAAGAAAAGGGTAATAGCTTATATTTATATAGTGCTTTAAGCTTTATAAATTACTTTATATATGTTATTATTTTCTAAACCTCATAACAACTCTGTGTGATGAATAGTACAAGGGATGTCATCTCCATTGTACAGATGAGGAAACTGAGGCTCTGGGAATAAAGTAACTTGCCCAAGGTCACATGGCCAGTAAAAACTGGAGACAGGACTTGAACCCTGTTCCCTGTTCATTCTCTCTCTCTATCTATCTATCTATCTCTCTATCTATCTTTATAAAGCAATCATTCTTTTGGGGGAATGGGAGGCAATTGGGGTTAAGTGAATTGCCCAGGGTCACACAGCCAGTAAGTGTCTGCAACTGGGCTTGAACTCAGGTCCTCCTGACTCCAGGGCTGGTGCTCTATCCACTGTGCCACCTTACTGCCCATCCCCCTTTTAAAATGCAATCATTCTTTTTTTTCCTCCTGTTTCAGTGCTCAAACAGATGGAGAAAGAATGATAAAAATAAGAGATGGAATATAAACACACTAAAACCTACATACAAATAAGAAAAAAGCAGAAAGGGAACACAAAGGAGCAAGATGACAAAGAGTAACACAATGACCTGTAAAAAATAAAAAGAATGAAACAAAGGACAAAAAGCAATAAACAAAATGAAATACATGCAAACACAGAGTTTAAAACAGGGGAGAAAATCCAGCAGCCCAAAAACTCAACAGAATGGAGTTGGATCTAACAGAGAAGTCCCAGAACTGTTCTCCCACAGTAGGTCCTTGGTCATGGAGCTGCTTTGACATAATGTATGAATTTGAACTTTGATACTTTCCAAAGACATTTATAATTTCCAGTCCATTTAAATTTGATGTTCCTGACTGAGTCTATCATTTCCTACTGCGCTTGCACAAAACAAGTCTTTCTCCCTTTTTGAATCCCACACAGACTATACTTTTCCTTTCATTCTGTTTGTTTCTGGTCATTTCTTCAATTTACCAAAGTCACTATGAAAATATCAAATATAATAGCCAGTTCTCCTGCAGAAAATCATATTTTTTGCCTCAGAGCAAAAAAAAGCTTCATTGATTATCACTCTCTGTGATGTTTAAGTGAGTACCCATTTAAGAGGTACAGATCCTTCCCCCCCAAAAAAAAATCATACCATATCTGACAAAATTAAAGACTTTGCCAAAGCCATGGTTAAGTATGTCTTCAAATCCATTAAAACTAATTCCAGGAGACTATGCATCATTTTGCTATTGTACCAGAAGGTTTATTCTGTGAAATGATGTTTCAATACCTCGAGGTTTGATGATTTCTACTTCTATGGAAGTAGATCACAAGCCTTTAGCAATTACTATGCCCTTCCAAGAGGAGCCTCTCTGGGCTGGTCCTACTGCAGGGAGACCCAAAATTCAAACCATTCAAACCAGAGTTTGCCCTTAGACTGGTGTAGTCTTTGAGAACGCAGGGTCCCCTCCACACCATGGATGAACCATTGGAGTAGAACTTTATTGGAAGAGTCTGCCAACTGCTGTTAGCAATCAGTAGGCTATTAGTTGGTATTTTGAAATGTTTTATGTAGAGGTTAACATTGTAATAGAATCAGATTTGCCTGCTTTAGTTTTATACAAATGAGAACTTGGACTCTCTGAATGAGAAGTGCTGTCTTTCACAGTTTAGACTCTCAGTTTTCATCAAGGTGTTTGATAACTGGTTTGTTGATATTCTTATCCCACCCTATAAAATTTTTTCTAGGTTTAAAAAACCTAGATAGGATAAATTCTTTTAAAAATTCATTTAATTACTTGTAACACTTCAATGTGCATTCAGAAAAATAAAGCATGTTCTAATTAGAAGATATAATAGAAGTTCTAGAAACAGAAAATAGTAACTTGTGGCAATAACTTCATAAGATTACTTGGGAAGCAAAACCAGACCGTCTACCCCTCCCCCAACCATGAGATAGTAATTATTTTTTTAAAAAATTATAATATGTTATTTTCCCCAATTACATGTTAAAAACAATTTTTAACATTTTTTTAAAGTTTTGAGTTCCACATTCTATCCTCCCCTCCCCCCTCCCTGGAATGATAAGCAAATCAATATAGGTTATACATGTACAATCAAAATAATTAATTCATGTGAACTGTGACCCATTAGGATATCTCAAAGAGATGCCAAGTTGAGAAAATAGTTTTACCTTGTCAAATTTCATAACCTCATTAATCATAACAGGGAACACAGCAGGAAAGCATTTTGTCTCCCTATATTGATCAAGGATGCAGACACTGAGTAAAAGTCCTTTCTTCTCTGGAAGAAACACACCTGGGCAGGTGATCTTAAAAAGAAAGAAAACAATCATAAAGATCAAAGAACCTCCTCTTTCTCTGCTAAGATTCACTTGCCAAAGAGATAATTCATTTTTCTTAATATCTTACTCAAAAAGGACTATCAAATGCTCAAAGAATATAAATAGAACATTTATATAAGAGGAAAACCAAATTGTTACAGCATTGAGAACTAGAAGGAACTTTAGAAATTATTTATCAAGTGAGGGGGTTGGTCTAGAGGGCTTCTAAAGTCCTTCCAGCTCTAAATCTCTGATCCCATGCTCTAATTTGACCCCCCTCCTTTTACAGATGAAGAAACTGATGCTAAAATAAGGTATGTAACTTTCCTAGTGTGCTAAGGTGAGACTATGATATCAGAGTAAGGATTCAAATTAAATCTTTTGACTTTAAATCCACTGTTCTTCCCTCTATACTTGTTGACACATAAATATTCACTTTTAAAAGTTATCAACTTCAACAATAATTAACACATTCAATTCGACCAATACATACTAAGTACCTATTTGCAAGGCTCAGTGGGTGCTAGACAGAAATCAAAACAGTTCCTGCCCCACAAAGGATCTTAACTTCATTGTCCACTCAAAGAAATGCAAATAAAATCTATATCAGACCCACATAAATGAAAAACAAAACAAAACAAAACAAAGCAAAATAAAACTTAAAATGACAAAACAATGCTAGCTAAGTCATGGAAAACTAGAAATATATATGCTGATGGAATTGCAAAATAAGATTTTTTTGGACAGAATCTATCAACACAAGGTAAATATCATTTAAAAAATTACACTATGATGACTACTCAATAATTCTATTACTTAGAAATATATCCTGAGAAGATTGTCAAGGCAGGGGGAGTAATTGGTTTAAAGCCATCTATGGCAGGATTGTTTCTTTTAGGGGGAAAAAGTAAAAATAGTATAAAAGTCCAATAGTTGAGGAATGGCTCCCTAAATTATAATATAACCATGCTATGGAATAATATAATGTGATTAAGATTGTTAAGTAAGTAGAAAATAAAAAAATATGGAAACATATATTGGAATAATTCTACAGAAAGAAAGTCTAACCAGAAGAACAGAGTATACACTAACAATAACTATTATGTCAGGACCTATGACTTCATAGGTAAAGGAAAATCCCCATTTGGGAACTTCCTTCATCAAAAGCAGGTAGATCACCAATTGCTCTACCCTTGTAGGGTTGTCTAGGATGCTGATAGAAGTTAAGTGACTCGCCCAAAGTGACAGAGCCACTTTGACTCAGAAATGAGACTTGAACCCAAATCGTCTTGCCTGAGGCCAGATCTCTATCCACTGTGACAGATTTGCTTCTGCACTGAAAAGATGCAAAATGAAAAACATAGACAAAAGTAATAAAAGATGAACAGATATAAAAGGAAAGCAAAAGGAAGACTCAAGGGAAGTAACTGATAAGTTAGTATAGGCATTTTATCAATGTAAATTTGTTGTTGTTCAGTCCTGTACTCTCCTGACCTCATCTGGGATTTTCTTAGTAATGAAACTGGAATGATTTGCCTTTTTCTTCTCTGGCTCATTTTACAAATGAGGATGCTGAGGTGAACAGGGGTAAGTGACTTGCCCAAAGTCACAAGCTAAATTGTCTGAGGCCAGATTTGAACTCAGGAAGATGAGTCTTCTTGACTCCAGGCCCCGAAATCTATCCACAGTGCCACCTACCTGCCCATGTAAGGGTAAATACATTTATTCAAATATAAATAGTTGAATTCATTCTTTAACAAACTATAGGCCTCCTGGGTACCGACTGCTAAGAAAGAAGATACAAGGGACAACTAGGTGGGACAGTGGATAGAACGCTGGCCCTGGAATCAGGAAGACCTGAATTCAAATCCGGCCTCAGACTAGACACTTGACACTTACTAGCTGTGTGACCCTGGGCAAGTTGCTTAACCCAATTGCTTAGCTTAAAAAAAAAAGATACAGACTTTTGGATTGCTTTTCTATCATATTTGCTTTTCTTGGTATTTAAACCTGTTTATATTAAATACATATGTGTATGTATATACATATATAGTATGTATTTTTTTTCAGAACTACACTATCTAACAGAGACAGCTAGGTGGTGCTGTGGACAGAGTGCTGGGCATGGAGTCAGGAAGGCCCGAGTTCAAATCAGTTCTCAGACACCTCCTAACTGTGCATTTGGGCAAGGCATTTAACCCTGTTTACCTCGGTTTCCTCATCTGTAAAATGAGCTCGAGAAGGAAATAGCAAAACATCTAGTCTCTACCAAGAAAACCCCGAATGGTGCCACGAAGAGTCGCACACGACTGAAAGGACTGCATTTTCCTAACTGTTCTTTCCCTGCTCTCTGCCTCTGCAGCATCTTCAGCTCCATCCGATCCCTCCCCACTCGCTCCGCCCCAGCCCGGCCCTCCCGCCCCTCGGCTCCTCCTACGCGGAAGCGGAAGAGATCCAAGCCTCCGGCCGGTCGCCACCGCAACCGCCGCCATCACCGACCAGGCTCTGTGGCCGAGGTGGCGGTCACGGGCTGCAGACATGTCCAGCCCCCGGAGAAGCGTCGACGGCCGCCCAGCGGGCTCGGGAGCGGGTGCGGGCGGTGGCGGCAGCCACCCCGGCAGCCCCGCTCACGGGAGCCATGGCGGCAGCGGCGGCAGCAAGTTCGAGTTCCAGTCCCTGCTGAGCAACCGCAGCCCCGGCGCCGAGCCGAGCTCAGCGTGGCTCCGGGCCTCCGAGAGTCCGCTGCACCGTCGCGGCTCCTTCCCCTTGGCCCCGGCCGCCGCGCCGCAGCCGCCCCCGCCCCCGCTGCCCGAGGAGGACTGCATGAAGCTGAACCCTTCCTTCCTGGGCATTGCTCTGCGCTCTTTGTTGGCCATTGACTTGTGGATGTCCAAGAGGCTGGGCGTGTGCGCCGGAGAGAAGTCGTCCTGGGGCAGCGCCCGGCCCCTCATGAAGCTGCTGGAGATCTCGGGCCACGGCGTCCCGTGGCTGGCCGGCACCGCCTACTGTCTGTACCGGAGTGACAGCTGGGCCGGCCGAGAGGTCCTAGTCAACCTGCTCTTCGCTCTGCTCTTGGACCTGGTCTTGGTGGCGCTGCTCAAAGGGCTCGTTAGGCGGCGAAGACCCTCGCACAACCAAATGGACATGTTTTTCACGTTCTCGGTGGACAAGTATTCCTTCCCCTCTGGCCATGCCACTAGGGCCGCCCTAGTGTCTCGGTTCATCTTGCACCACCTGGTATTGGCTATTCCGCTGAGGGTGTTGATAGTGCTGTGGGCCTTCATCTTGGGCCTCTCGAGGGTCATGCTGGGAAGGCACAATGTCACAGACGTAGCTTTTGGATTTTTCTTTGGTTACATACAGTACAGTATAGTGGACTATTTTTGGCTGTCTCCTTTCAATATCCCTGCTGTTTTTGCTCTGTGGAGTCACAAGTAAATAATTTGATTGTATATGGGACCGGAAGATACAAAGGCTTCCAGGATGAAAAGGACCAAAGATACACCAGCACCCATCTTGCTTAGCTCTTGTAGACATTTTGGACTTCTTTTGGAATTTTGAGTCTAAATGGAAAGATGTAACTCCTGCCATCTTGATAGTTGCTAGACTGAAGCATGTGCCAGCCATAAGGTGAACACAGCCATATTAGGTAAATAAAATATTTATACAAGGAGAAATAGATATATATAGATCTTCATTAACAACTCTGTCAGCAAAACAATAGCAAAGGAACCAAGCAATTTTTCTTGCTGTTGACAAATAATTTTTTTGAAATTTTACATCAGTGTATAATATAATTCCACACATCCCCCATACATGGCACTTCTTTTTAAAAGGAGAAAACGGGGAAAGAAGTGTTAACTAGAATCATATTTTGCATTATTAACATGCATTAAGGTGAACAACTGTGTTGTCCCATAGTAGATTTCAAACATGATTTTAAAAATGTAAAATATAGGGGGCAGCCAGGTGACGCAGTGGATAAAGCACCGGCCCTGAAGTCAGGAGGACCTGAGTTCAAATCCATCCTCAGACTAAACACTCCACACGTACTAGCTGTGTGACCTTGGGCAAGTTACTTAACCCCGATTGCCTCGCGCACACACACACAAATATATATATATATAATATAAATTCCACTACTTTTATCTCTGAAAGTCTGGTGCTACAGATGTGTAGATTTTTAAATTTTTAATTTATTCACTTTTAAGAACCCACACATGTTTTGGTTTTTGGTAGATGGGGGGGGGCACATTTTGATATTTGCTGATGAAGCAAATTAGGACACAGAGAAGAGATGCAGAACTCTAGTCTTCCCCATCCTGTTAAAAAAAAAGATGAATATAAATCTTTTCCATTCCTATCTAGTATTACTTGTTATCATATGAAAAAACACAATGGCTAAGAGAAACTCCAAAAAGAGAATATACATTAATACTTCAAGGACCTGCTATTTCATCAGAGTTAGTGTACCTCCCACCAATGCAGATTGCAAGCCTTACTAGATGGTTTCATTGACTTGCTGTGGGTAAAAAAAAATTCATCACCTGGTAGCTAGTTCCTGGGGTTATAAACTTCTCCAGCTTAGCCAGGATGGTCTTTGGACCAGAGATGTCATCAGGCATATATGTGAAGCCTTTCCAGCATGGATCTGTCTTGCAGAGCTTGCATTTCTTTGACATAGCCTTCAAGAACTCAAGGTTTCATCCACACTATGGTGAGGTACTGAAAGACTTAAATGGAGGAGCACACAATATAAATAGAAAAGGGGGGGGGAAGCCTGAGAGTTATCAATTAGAAAGGTGTGGGAGTGGGGCTGTCTTTCAGTTAGTTCTATGACAGTTTGGAAGGATATTTATGGTGACTTGAGTAGGTCAGATTCCCCAAAACTGTGATAGAAGGCAGTAAAAATAAATCTCTTTCAAAAGAGTTCATTAAAAAGCCACTTGTTGGGACAGCTAGATGGCTCAGAGGATAGAGCACCCACCCTTGAGTTAGAAGGACCTGAGTTCAAATCCAGCATCAGACACATGATACTTATTAGCTGTGTGACCCTAGGCAAGTCATTTAACCCTGATTGCCTCACTAAAAAAAAAGAAAAAGAAAGCCAAGTTGCCTGTGAGGAAATATTTTATCTAGTAGAGGGTAACTGAGTTAGGCCATATATCACATGGACCACTGTGGTAAGAGATTGTGCTTTGTTGCCCATCATTTCTACTCATTAATAGATAAAACTCTGCTGAAGGGTAGGGAATGGGACCAATCTTTAAAGATGACAAGGCGATCTTTCCCATGTACAACAGAAAGGACCTGTGAATTTTGTAATTTCTGTATTTGGGTGATGTTTTTTCTTGTAATGATTTTGAGGGTGATGGAAATTAAAACAATCAGAGTCTTGGACATCAGCATTCATCAATATGAGCAGGCTGTTGTACCAAGCATAAAGAAAAAATACTGAATTTCTTTCATGTTGACTTGTTTCATTCAGAGAATTTCATCCAAGGTGCCTCCACAAATCATATTACCAAAAACCACCTAATCCAGAATGCTTATCATTCCTCAAAGCGGGGAAGAGAGGAAAGGAAGGTGGGTTAAGTTATTTAAATGATGCTCTAGCCACAAAGAACCCTTAAGTTAGACAAGGAATCAATCCTTATAAAATTCAACATAAGAATGTTATCAGCATTGATAAATAGAAAAGACTTTGATTGACAGTACCCTTTTTGAGATGTATTGTGTATCTGGAATCAGCTCTGGCAAATATAGCTGATTTTAGCTGGGTGGAAGAGCAAAATTCTTAATGATTGATGGCACTCAGAAATTGGAACTACTTCTTGGGGATAAACGGAATCATTTTCATTTCAATTTAATCCAGCGTTGACTACCTCTCCACTTCCAGAGTCAACACAGTGAACTGCCCTCAAATCTGTGACATTTTAAACTATTTTGTTCCATTTTACTTTTAAAGATTTCCTTCACAGTAGTGTTATGCCAGATGTTCAAAGGTATGAGACTCCTATTCATAGCCACCAAATTAACTCCTAGGAGCTTTAAGGCAGAGTAATTTTGTTGAATGTTTATACCACTGAGATTCACTTAATTAAATGACACCCACATTTATTGATTCTTAGAGCACAGGCCTATTTTCTTCTGGATTTGGATTTGGTGGAGAACAATGCAAATATTACAAGTAGTACTTTAGAATGGACCATTAATGTCTTTGTTTTATGTAAAGGAAGGAACTCAATTTCAGAATCACAATAAAACCTAACCAGTACTGTTAAATTTTGATGCAATACTTTTTATTTAGTTGAGAAGGAGACTGATTTATATTTTAGCTCCTTATAAATGAGTGTCTTCATTCTTTGATTATTTTGAGATATCACAGTTAGTTAATGCAGTATGTATATGTGTGTGTGTGTGTGTGTGTGTGTACACACACACACACACACATATTTCCTCTGAACCTATGTGCTAACAGCAAACTAGGCCAGATCTCCTTCCTACCACTGCCTCAGACAGTGTTGTCCTGTGTAAAGAATGCTGGATCTGGAATCAAAGGACATGGGTTCATATGTTAACACTTTCACATACTCCCCTGTGACCTTAAACAAATCATTTAAGCTTTCTGTAAAATGAGAGAGTTGGACTAGATCTTTAAAGCCCCTTCGGGCCCTATATGTATGAACCCAAGGCCCACATTCTGCTGTGTGTGGCCAATGTCTGTGGGGACTACATTTTCCAGTCCTGCATTTCTCTAAGTCTCTGCCCTTAGGGATGACCACATTAGTTTGAAACTAGAACTCTTCATCAGCCTATCACTAAAAGAGGGGAAATGCCAGCTCTAATGTCCCTTAACTCTAATATTCTGAGAGTTTGAATCCAAGATTAGAGAGAGGAGTCAGTGAGTGACCAGAGTGAAAAAGCACAGCAACTCTATTTGGAGCACCCAGTGCAAAACCTTGGAAATACTTGTTGATTGATTTTCATGGACCACAGCAAACCAGAGCTGGCCCTAGAGGGAACTAGGTTAGAAGAAAATCAGCTGGGCTATATTGCAATGACAATTTGTCACTTGATGATTGTGTTAATTATACATTCCTTCTAGTGTTTATATTAGGACTAAAAGAATACAAACACTACCCAAACATTAGTTTCTCCTTTAAGATGGTGCAATTGTACCGAGTCTAGAACTGTTTTAAATGGATGAGCAGAAGGAGACGGGAGGGCCGGCACAGAGGGTTAAACAAGTGGTCTCTGAAGAATGGGACAGAGAAAGAGCAGAACCCAAGCGGGAGGTAGGGTGTTTGTTAGAGAAGAGGGTGAAAAAGTTCCAATATCAGTGAATAACTATGAGGGATAAACTTGGAGACAGGCATTTGTAAAGTCACGAGAGGACTCTGTTGAGGGTGAGGATCAGGAATCTGACTAGAAGCTAAATGAAAATCACCCGGCGTTAAGAGGAGTGGGAGCAGAGCCTAAGGCGTGAAATGAAGGGTTGTGAGCAGAATGGGACAAAGATGGATTGTTCTTTCTTACCGCTCGAATGTGCAACTCCACTACTACTTGCAGGGGCATCTTTCCCAGCTGGGGAGGGAAGGATTGGAAAGGGACCCTGCTGCCCTGGGCAAAGGAGCGGGGTTTCTTCCCCGGCCCTCCCGCCCCGATCCCTCTCCCGTGGTGAAAGCTGAAGCTTCTACTGCCGCTGTTTCCCACAAGGGAAAAGCGTCTCGTTACCACGGAGACCGAAGCTCCCAAACTTCCACCGCTAGAACGTGGGAGGCCCGAGACGCCACGTGCGTGCGCATGCCCTTTGCCCCGCGCTACTCACGGAAGGATGTGGCCTGGGTTCGGTTCGGGTTCGAGTTTGGGGTACGTGCTCCACGCTTGCATAGGGATGCTCGAGGCACGCTAAGAACCCTCGGTTCCTCTCCCGCTGCTTTGTCTTTATGTCCCTTCTGCCCCACTTCTTCGCTGCTGTCCTCTTTTCAGGACCTGTGAAATGATCCTGGGTCTATTATAATGGAAGGGTGAGGACCACAGGATTTAGAGCGGAATGGATTTTTGGAGAACATATAATGCGATTTTATATATGGGGAGACGTAAGCCCAGGAAAGGGAAGTGATCTGTTCAAACCGACACGGTAGTAGCAGTGTTTAATAGTTGTGGCCGTAGCAGTAACAACTAACATAGCTGCTTTCTTATTTAAGATTCACGACAATGCCCAGAGGTAGGCACCACACGTTTTACTATCTCCACTTTATCGAAGTAAGATCTGAGACTCAGAGACATTAAGTTCCTATAGTCTCAGAGCTAGTGTTAGAAGTGGTATTTTGCCTGGATTTCAGAGGGAGGGAGGTGGTGGTGAGAGGTGGGAGAGGAGGTGGAGTACAAGTGCAGAATCAGGCATGCATTTGCAGACCTGGCCAATGTGTTCATTGGTTTTGTTTAATGTATTTGTTACAAGGAAGGGTTGGAGGCAGGGGCTCATTGAGAAGTGGGGGGGGGGGGGGGGGGGGGGGGGGGGGGGGGGGCAGGAAAAAAAAATTTTAAAATATTTATGATAGTTTTCTTTTTTTTTTTGGAGTGGCAAAGAATTGGAAATACAGGGGATACCCATCAGTTGGGGAATGGCTGAACAAGTTGTGGTATATGAATGTGCTGGAATACTATTGTGTTGTAAGAAATTATGAAGGAGATGGTTTCAGTATAACATGGGAAGACCTGTATGAACTGATGAAAAGTAAAGTGAGCATAATCAGAACAAGCTATACAGTAACATCAATATTGCACAGATAATCAACTTTGAAAGAAGTAGTAACTCTAATCAACATGGCATCCCACCACAGTTCCAAGGACTCATGATGAAACATGCTATCTGACTCCAGATAGAGAGCTGATGGACTCAGAGTACAAAAAGAAGCATTTTTTTTTCTTAAAAAAAAAATTTGGAGGGGCAACTAGATGGCACAGTGGATAGAGCTCTGGCCTTGGCTTCATGAGGATGTGAGTTCAAATGTGGCCTCAGACACAAACACTTACTAGCTGTGTGACTCAGGGCAAGTCACTTAACGCTGACTGCCTCACCAAAGGCAAAAAAAAAAAAAAATTGGAACATACCTGATGCAGAAATTTATTTTGTATGTCTACAATAATAAGTTTTGTTTAAAAATAGGTTTTGTAATAGGTTTTCTTTTATTTGCTTTCTCATTGGCTGGGGGAAGAAGAAGGAGAGAATTTGAAACTGAAGGGAGAAAAGTCTCTGCTTTAAAAAATAAATAAAAATCAAAGAGAAATTTTAAAAACTTTTTTAAAAGGCCCAGATCTTTATGATCCCAGGTCCTTCCTGTGCTCTGTCCATTCTGTCTGAGACCCTGATTGAAGCCTAGGTCTTCTGTGAACTCCTTAAGAGCAGGGACTGTTTTTGTCTTTCTTTATATCCCCAAACTTAACAATTGCTTGTTGACTTAACTGACTGGCTCCAAATCCAGTGTTCTTTTACCGTTCCAAGGGACCGAGAAAAATTGCTTATATGAATGGTACAAATAATGCTAGGGTGATTGCAAAAGTGTACAAATATTAGACACATAAGTTATATGCAAAAACATTAAAAGTGCTTCCTAATCTTTTTCTCCAAGGCATTTCAGGGAGAGCCTGCTAGCTTAACTTTTACAGTCCAAAGCAAACAAAATTAGCTTGTAAAATTTCTCTTTATCTCACAGTAGTTAATATATTCTCTAGTTTCATGGTTAGACTTTTAAAACAGGCAATGCTGAGATTCCAGCCCTAGGAAGCATAAGCCAGGGACTAGTTTTTTAAAGGGTAGGTAAATAGCATTTTTCCATTCACTGTAGCTGATGAGTGTAGTAAAAGAGGACTAGGAAAGTCTGGCAGAACAGCAAGTAATAGTGCCTGGAAAGGGTCACTGACACTGAAATAAATCTCAAGATGTTATGAGCATTCTCTGAGTATATGGATTAGAAACATGAATAATCATAAATGCTGTTATTAATCATCTATTTGGAGG